TGATTGCGCAAATCCCCCGCCGATTATTTACAAAGGGCGGCGGACGCGTCTCAGGTTTTACGGTTGGTTCAGCCAATGACGTTTCCCACTCCAGTGTTTTCTTTGGCTCTGTGGGCGGGACTGGCGCGGAGGTAGGAAAATGGAGTCATTCAACTCGCTACCATGGTTTCAGAGTCAAGCCTAGGTTATCCATAGTGTAGATGCGGAGGGCGATCGGAACGATATTTAAGAGACTGTAGGAGCCCGTTTTTGCTCAAAACTGGACTAAAACTTTTACTCACATTATCCGAAGACTGTATCGCAAAATATGCGATGGGGATTTCAAAAGCCTGTCGCAGATTGGCGCATTTCAAAAAAACTGATCGCATTTTGCGATGCAATACCGCTTATCGCCAGCCCTGTAACACACAGAATGACAAATCACCTAGCTTTACCAATGTGCACTAACAGCACATCCTGAGTGAAGAGGTTCATGCCAGCACCTCTGCAGAGGGTAAGACGTGTGACTAAGCCTGGGACACTGCCCACGACCAAGAGGAAAATACAAGACCCAATGGCCCGGGTCAAAGGCCCCACCCATCACACTCAGCCCATGTTCGAGAACTTCAGTTGCAGACCCAAACAGTACCTAAGAGCAGGAAGACACCGTTTCAGTGAGTATGAGTGTGTGTGCATGCGTGCTTACGCATCCGTGTGCCTGTTTGCACATGCGTGTTGAGGTTCCACAAGATTGTTGGTTCCATATGACACAGGAGCCGAATGTGGCTGCCGACCCACAAAGGAGCTTGTGCGCAGATTCCCAGTGGGGTCTGTTGGCACTTGCACACCATTCTGGTCACGAGGCACCAGCCAATTGGATCTCCGGCAAGAGATTCAAAACTTCTCTCACAGACTGGCCCCCTCTTACACAGGATGAACCCTCAGACCTGCCCCTCTTACACAGGGGGACCCCTCAGACTGGCCCCTCTGACACGGGGCGACCCCTCAGACTGGGCCCCTCTGACACAGGGCAACCCCTCAGACTGGGAAAGTGGAAAGCAGAGGCCCAAAGCTGCATGAACTATAGTGGAGAGGGAACATGCACTGCTGGCCAGGACACCGTCACTCACTCAATTCAACACAAGAGCTGCAGGAATGCAGACCCTCACAGATACACTGAACAGCGCAGACCAGGAGAGTGCAAACGCAATAAGACTGAGAATGTCTGAGCTATAAAGATCATTGTTTCAGATTAAAAAAAAAAAAGAAAGAAAAAAAGACATGCATGGCAAAAACATGAACTAGACAATGATACAAATGCTCTGTGCTTTTAAGAACATCATATCATATGACAAAGGTGAGGTATGTAGCACATAACTCACTTCAAACAAAATGAAACTCAACCTATTGCAAAAAAAGCCTCGTCTGAAAAGACAATATAAAGGACCATGGGGACTTTTTATGAGACGGTAGCAGACAACCGAGATAAATTGAATTGCTGTGAAGATCTGACATTTTCATACCGCAGTACTGAATCAGTGCTCCATCACACAGAGAAAACGCTAGAAACTGAGCAACAGAACAGACGACCCAACTAAAGCTGCTTTCACACCGGACGCGAAACGAATTTTTCACACGACAGATTACATTCAAAGTCAATGCAAAGAGGCAAATACATGCAAAAACGCGTGTATTCGCGTCTTTGCATTGACTTCGAATATAATCTGTCGTGCGAAAAATTTGTTTCCTGTCCAGTGTGAAAGCGGCTCAAGTAAGCGCTGTCACATAAAAATCAACAAGTGCTCCAGCATTATCTGAAAATAACAGAAAGCAAATTATTGAAGTATATGTATCATAATTTACAAAAAGCCTTCCTGTCTCAGCAGGTAAACAATGGGAGAGGTCCTCACAAAGTGCAAAGTGACATTCAGGTCCCTCTCGCCTGCAGTTCAATCATTCAGTTGCTGCACACAGCAGAATTCAGCCCAGAGTTGGTGTATCCCTGAGCCATACAGCCACGTTAGCAGGAGCTGGACAAGATCCCCACTGATAACCCAAAGTAACACAGGAAGAAGAGAAACCCAATGTGTGTCTGGGTCGGAGTCCATAGTTCTGCACAGTCAAAGCGAACGCGGTCAGCCATCAACTCTCCTTCAGTTCGATGAAAAGCGTTTTGGGCACACAGAGGTCAATGCTTTCTGGCACTGCTATGCAGTAAAATTTGGAGCCAGAGTCCACAGCACGGCCGGCGAATCACAGTTGTCCACTCATTGTGCGAGGCGCAGCGACATTATCTGATCCACAGAGCATTTCTCTGTCATCTAAATATCACAGTAGCTTAAAATCAACAGACGGGGAGGCAATTAGGTGAGGAAAATGCATCGTGATTAAAAAAACAGACATAGCATTTTTGTGCTAAAGTTACAGATGACTTCACTGGAGAATGGGACCTCTTTCACCCATACTGGTGCCAGCAGGGTGATACTAGTGAGCAGTGACTGGAAATGACACTCAATAACAAAGTCCCATTGTGCCCTCGAAGTCCATGCGCAAGTGCGCACTTACACTTCATGACAAAGTCTAACTGCATCAACTCTGAAGATCAAAAGCACCAAAGCGCAGTTTATAAAAGTTGCCCGATAAAAGTTTTGGGTTAGAGACCAATCCACTGTTTCGGCAAAGAGAATAACCAGGGATGGTGGCATGGACCAAAGACTTCCAGCATTAAATGCAAATGATCTGTAACCATTCAAATACACAGGCTGTAATTTAACACTTAGGATTCAATTTAAGATTATGTTAACTCTTTCCCCCTCACAGCCCTAAAGATAATAACACAGCAGTGTATACTCTGTGGGGAGCTGGCTGCTGCAACCTTATCTCCACACAGAGCTGCTGATGTGATAACACCTTTACTCAGGCATTTTCAGAAATAAAGAAATGATTTACATTCATTTTTATTATTACAAATAAATAATTACTGAATAAAAGTATAAAAAAGTATATATTTTCTTTTTCAGGATAACCTCACCTTCAAGACAATGTTTTTTATATCCCAATATTCCAGTTACAGAAAGAGAAATTTCACTATAAATGTCAAGTCATTTTATAAACACAAAGAGTTTTTATATTTACAGGTCCAATAATGTTCAATTAATGCTAATGTTTTTTTATTTTTATTGACCAATCATATGCCTTCAATAATGCATCTACCCCAAAACTGTTCACGTCATAGTCTCGATCTCATATAAGCTTAAAATAGAGAGTCGTCCACAGACGCTTATGGGGAAATCCCGGTGAGACGTCGAGAGTCGCTTGTGCGGTGATCGAGACCGGGCGTCGAGAGGCGCTTGTGGGGAAATAAGGGATAGGCGTCGAGAGGCGCTAGTGAGGGGGAAAGAGTTAATGTGTCCAATTGATTCTGTAACTCTAAAATGGAGGCAGATTAAAATTCAGTTTGAAGTGCATAGAAATTCCTGCAATGAACACAATATGGATGCCAGTAGAGAGCCCATTAATTAAAACGGTCACACTCCACCTTAACCTCGCGTTATTATTTCATTATATTAAATCCACTGCACTTCTGTACAAAGCCAAAACAAAAACTGTCCCAAAACTTTAAACGCAGTATATACTCAAACTCAATAAAATCACATGATCCGCCCAATCTCAGTCATGATTAGAGCCTTAATTATGACTGACTCTCAAAATTTGAGAAGTCAAAAAATGTCGCTTTCCAAAATATTAGTACAACTCTGAAATTTTCAAAGGCAGAATAATGCCAAGTTTGAACGTAATGGAATCAGTGAATTCAATAAGGGCCCAACTCCACACATCTCAATGAAATGCAAGGAGTTTCAGTCTGTCTGTATGTGTACATTTATGCATGCATGTCCAATTCTCTCGACAACTGTTCATCTGATCCACTTCACACCTGGCCTGTGTACTACATGCAGCAAAACCCGAGGCCAAGCAATCAGCCCGTTCCAAACGGGCATGGACAGAACAGGCACTGCACGAGTTTGTGAAATGCAGGTCTTCCATGCCTCGCGCTCTTTAGGTGACAAGCTTCTTGACTGTGTCTAAGACGATCCCAGCTCCCATGGGAAAATGCTTTTATTCTTTATGCATTTCATATGGCGAGGTCAACAAAAGCCCAACTCCTGGGCTGCTGAGGCAGGATATCAGTCGTCAGTCATTATGCGGCAGCTGCAGCAGCAGTGATACAAGACTGCTGATGGGCTCCATTCAGGATACATATAGTTTCACAGGTTTGAATTCAGCAGCTGAATTTCATGGACCCATGCGGGTCTGTATGTTTTATGGGGTTAAAACTGAGCCATCCAATACACACTGCCACCACCACCAACAGTTTTCCATATGTGAACTATTGTAAGACCAAGAGATATGACCAAATTATTAATTTTCAAGGACACAGCACAGGACTTCAAACCGAAGAATGTCATTGAATCCACAAAACGGCGGCAATGAGTTTGGGGAATAATGATGAGGAAGGTAACAGCAGTAATCAGTGTTTCCCACAGAATTTTTGGAGAATATGGGGGCACATGTGTGGTGGCAGAGCGATGTCTGGGGGGGGGGGGGGTAGATGATTGTCATTTTGTGGCGGGGGGGGGGGAATGCGCAAATTCGCGTCTTCCAGTACCTTTCCGATTTTTTCGTCTTTTTTTTTTTTTTAAACGTCCGCATGTATTATCAACACGCGGCAGTTGCGCATATTGAGACTATGGCGGGGGAAATTAGATAATGGCGGGCCGCCAAAGTCTCGTCAATGTATGGGAAACACTGGTAATTAATTCAGGCAATGATGGCATCTCCATCCCCCTCCTTCTCTCGAACTCAGCAAAAAAAAAAAAAAAAACATGAAACATGTTTGGTTGTTAAAAAAACAAAAAACAAAAAAACACAGTGCTGTAAAGTTTCTAGAACACGTCTCAGCCTACCTACCTGTAATTTAAGCTCCTTAGATACTCAAATCTTCAGTGAGCTGCAATTTGGGCAGCATGGTGGTGCAGTGGTTTGCACTGTTGCCCTAAAAAGGAAGGTTCCAGGTTTGAGTCCTGGCTGGTCAGGACTTTGCTTGCTCTCCTCATGTTCCTGCGGGATCACTACCACTACAGGAGCACTGCCTAAGCTCTGGCTGTAGAACTGGAGCTGGTCCTAGGCACTGCACTGCAGCTGCCCACAGCTCCAAGGTAACTGGGATGAGTCAAGTGCAGAGGACAAATATTCAATAAAGTATGTCTGATCCATTACCATCAGGCTTCAGAACTAGTAGATAAAAAGCTTCTCAAATAGTGATGGACAGGACTGGTTTCACAGCATTTTAAAACACTGCATTCAGCTCTTGCAGGAGAAAGGTCATGCACAAAATTATCAAATGTACCAAAGATGAAACCCCACAAGACCAACACCGTGAGGCACTGCAGCTCAGGGTACAGAGTAAAAGCAGCCTGCTAGTGGTCACCATTCAACCCCCGATGTTCGCAAAGCTAAGAGCACAACCGTAGACAGCCATGCATTGTGTTTACGGTCATGCGTCAATCCCGCAGGTCCCCAAATCGGACCAGTTTATCCTCATCCCCGCGAGCTACTAATCCCAAACCAGCGAAGCAGCCCACAGACAAAGCAATTCTCTCATAGCCTTCTCTCACGCGTTACGTAGGATGAAATACGTGACCCAACAATAGATGCGTTCATAGAAATATCACTGCCTGCCAGTGCAAGCAAAACGCTGCCTGCGCCCGTGAACAGACAAACACACTTAATGACAAATCTGCATCACAGGGAGCCCCCAACCCACCTTCCCCATTCACATTAATCTAGGAGCCGCAATTCACATTTGTTATAAATTTAGTGGATACCGAAGAAAGAATCCAAAATCCATCAGATTGAAAATAACAAACAACTAAGCAGAACAGAAGAGACAACAGAAAAAAGGTGCAAAACCTATTTACATTGCACATCAGGACATTTTACTGTCATGCATACTGGTCTCATTCATTTCAAAAAGAATACCTGCTAATCAACAACAAAATAAAGAATCAATCACAAAGAAAATATTGCATCCCATAAAGCCAATACACCTGAATCACCTAGTTTAGGAGACAATTTTTAGACACTGGCAATGTTATTTCAATTGTACAACTGAGAATACAGCGCTGCTGAAGATCAGTAGAGAGCAAACCCTTTTTTCTGCTGGTTTTACTCAGGCAAACAATCAGTCAGCACTGAATCTCGCCGTGCGCAGCAGACGTCTTAAGTGATAATGGAACAAAAGACTCAATGAACGCGTCGTGCGCGCGGCCGAGAGTCCCCTAGAGAGAGTTCGCGGCAGCACTACAGTGAGCGACAGTGGACGGGAAAAATACATCTTTGTCGAGAGCGGTGCTAGAGGCTCAGTTTCGAAGGTACTGGATGGAAGCCAGGCCTCGCCGACATGCCGGAAGACACCATATGCAGCACTTCGCAGTAGACTCACACAAGGCCAAGATCAGAGAGCAAAGGAGAGAAGGATACGAAAGACCTGAGAGAAGCCATACTCTCACTATGGATTCAACGATAATAACTGAAGAAACCGCCCCCATCAACAACAGCAACTGAAATGCCATATTTTTTAATCAACTCAATTGCCCACCAAGAACCTCCGTGATGAATGCGCAGAGTATTCGCATAGGTGTTATACAACAAGAAAAAGTTGGGAAAGCTGCATAAAACAGCAAAACAATACTGATTATCCAAAAAACTACTTGTAGACTACCGTTCTGAGTGAAAGCCCAGCTAGAAACGTACACCGTGGCCAGTTTAATAGAAAATATTACCTGAGGAGATTCCGGCGGAATTCGCAAGTATTATTTTAAGGCAGGTAGACCATTTGGAGTACACACACACACACACAATTATAGACGGGTTCAATACATACCTAAAGTGATCGATTCGTTGTAAATGGACCCAATTAAGGGCACATTTCATTGTAATGCATAGCTGGAAAATACACTACGTACACCGACGTACAGTTTGCACTCAAAGACCGCTCAGGATTGATACCGCATCCCTCACACTTCAAAATTAAATTGAAATACACGGCGCATATCGGATAGATGTCCTCGCAGTTACTCCTGTAACCCGGCATCTCCAACCACTGACACAAAATACAACACAGCATTCGTCCTCTGCAGCAGAGCCTCTTATGCTTAAGGTTCAAAGACAGACAGCATATTTCCGATTAATCACCGTGACCTACATAGCCATGTTAGCTAACGCAGTCCTGAGAGACAATATAGCCACAGTATGAGGATGCAAAATTAATCTTCCTTGCACACAATACTGTGGAAACGTAGGTAGGAAAAATTGGGGTAGGGCTAATCTGCTGAAAACATTCTGCTGAAAAACTACAACCATCCTTCATAATTTCTTTATTTCTTAATATATTGTGATGAAATTTTCACCAGATATTCTTGAGATGTATATTTATTAAAAAGAATTATGAAGTATAGATGGTTGTAGTTTTTCAGCAGAATGTTTTCAGCACATTAGCCCTATCCGAAATATTGTCGCATTAACGCACAATCAATGTTGTCATTAGATCAACCATGCAATGTAAAAAGAGTAAAGTGTGAAGCTAAATGCTAGGATAAATTGCCCCAATCCAGAAGCACAGAATGGATATGGGCTAAGTGGCAACCGGCTTTTCCAGCAAACGTGAGGTAACGTAAGCTAAGATACAGTAGCTAGGCTAACATTGCCAACCCGGCTTTTGCAAAAACAGCAACACTGAAATCAAAAAGTGACACACGGCACCGGCTACACGTCTTGCCATATCTTAGCCAACTACTTAAATCACAACATTACGGCAGGCAAGAATACAATTATCAGTTTGAAGACTGTTAGCTGAGGAGAAACACATGAAGTCAAGCCGGTAACAATCGCAAGCCAGACAACTGCTAATAACGCCAGGGTCGGCAGCAAGATAGCAAGCTAGCTAGGGCTCAATCTACACAGGCAGCTATCTAGGGCTCTTGGCGAGCGAGCCAAAATTAGTTTAAAAAAAAAAAAAACAATAGTATTAAGCCGCTTTCACACCGGACGCGAAAAGAATTTCTCGCATGACAGATTACATTCAAAGTCAATGCAAAGAGTCTTTGCATTGACTTTGAATGTAATCTGTCGTGCGAAAAATTCGTTTCGCATGCGGTGTGAAGGCAGCTTCAGTGTTGGTAGTTAGCCAAAAATATGAATGATACGTTGGTGCCTAGCAAGGTTATTTTCAGCTGAACCACCAAATGAGTTCAACACAGGTAAGTGAGAGTTAGCCATCATTAGCATCTGCTAGCGACGAGGACGTGTCTGGCTAACTAGCTAACGTCTGAGGTTAGCAGCGCGCGTTCTTATTTTTCCTAACCGAGTTGTGGTACCGCGCCTGCGCCGAGGCAGACTTCAGCCAATCCGATTGCACCTAACTGGAAACGTACACCAATCAGATTGTGCGTAACTAGTAATTGTTCACCAACTTGGTTATGAGAACAGGATCCGGCTATAGCTTAGCGCAGTCTTATCGAGGAATCTAGCTAGCAAGCTAACTAACGTCACCAAAATCTAATATTCCCGGTTAAATCGCCACAGTGTTCGTTTCGCACCGTAAGCACACAGTTAAGACTGCTGGCGAGATAGGTCAGCTAGCTGGCTTCATTCGCTATTGAGCTCACTAGAATCTGGGGATACCTTGTACGAAACTAACACGGAGTGACATTAAACTGGCCATCTGGCCAAACATACAGCGTTATCAAGCTCAATATAAGTGACATCTTTGGATCCAGCATGGCAAGCGCTGGCAATAGCTAACAAGCTATACACGGAAATAAATACTGGTAGCTCGCTAATTAGCAAGCTAAGCTAGTCAGCCAACTGGCCATATCACTTAAAAATAAAAATAAAACAATAACTTACCTCCGACTCTGTACATATTGGCCGCCATTCTCTTGTTAATCTACTTGATAAACAGTGGCCAAGGGATTCCCCTCTTGTATGAAAAAAAATATCCGACTCGAAACAGTAGCTATAATTCCAGCCTTTATTCTCGTCCACCCCCGCCGCTAAACAAAAGCCAGGACCCGGCACTCAAGCTAAACTGCGGCGGGTAAAAGTTTGAAGTTTCCGTTACAATGTTGCTGAGGGATGAAAATATCTCTTGGTTTTGTTCAAGTCCAGCGGCAAACTCCTTCTCTCTCTACCCCACTCACTCACGCATTCACACTTGCAGGCATGTAGCTACACTCAGTCCTTGATAGCCAGCCTGTCTGTCTCACTCCACTCTTCCTCCCATCCTCCGCTCCCAGCTTCATCCTCCTCTTCTTCACCTCCGCACAGTTCATACACTCAACCCCCCCTCCCCCGTCCTTTTCTGAACGTCATCTTCGGCGACTTCGGAACCTTGACGTCTTTCGGGATTCTCCGGTGACCCTCACCGGAATGTCTCGAAACATCGGACACAGTGAAGTACAAAGGTGTAAGATTGTATTATTATTATTATTATTATTATTATTGTTGTTGTTGTTGTTGTTGTTGTTGTTGTTGTTGTTGTTGTTCTGCATAGTCTTGCGCATCAATAAATGTTGGCGCACATCTGTTATTTTATATATTTACAAATTATGTTTACAATATTAATTACACAGCCTAGCTTCTTTTTCCCTCCCATTTGTATGCGGGTCTATTGGTTATCCCACCTGTTTGTTAGAATTGGAATCGGCTTTAATAAAATACAAGATAGATAGATAGATAGGTAGATGGTTTCACAATTTAGCAATATTTTGTAACACCCTTAAGAAATTTACTTAAATAAACAGCTAAACACTGTCCTCTAGTGGCCACAATTGGTGAACTACACTTGTGAAGATCATACCTTGCTCTGAGCCTCACTGACTCCTTCAAAATCACTATTAAAAACTCATTTCTAAAGGCTTGCTTTTTGCTTTTCTACGTTTTCTTTTTTGTTAATTTTTGTTATGATTCTGTGTGTGTGTGTGTGTTTGTGGGCGGTGGTCGTCTTGTATTATTTGTGAAGCACTTTATTACT